GCCAGGAGAGGCGGCTCCCTGGAACTCCAGTGCCTGCCTGCCCTCCCTTGGAGGCCAGCCCTGAGGCATCTGGATGATGCCATGAAAAGGCTGATCAGGGCAGGCTGGCGGCCCCACTGCTTCGTGAGAGGACCCTTCTCTTGGCTCTGGCCAGAGGGATACCAGCCACTGGCATGATGTCACAGATCTCTGTGTCACCACTTCTGGCCCCTTCCCCTTCCACTAGCTTCAGATCCAGACAGCACAGACACCTGCCTTCCCTGGGGTCCCCAACAGCGAGTGACTGCTTTCTTATTCTGGCTTCCCAAACCGTGGGCTTCCTGCCTAGCAAACTAGAATCTATCATCAGGAAAAATAGTAAAAGGATTTGTATTAAATTCAAACTCAGCAAACGAGTAGCAACTGTCATTAAAATGAACAACACCATGAGCTCTAGCATTTATGGGGTAATATAAACATAATCTATGAGGGAGGTAACGCTATCAACCCCTACTTTATGATTACAATCTTTTTTCTTTTCTTTAATTTGCCAAAGGGCATATGTGCTCACCAGAGAGACAGAGAGAGAGAGAGAGAGAGAAAGCACTCCCTGCTGGGCCTGATCATGCTGCAGGCCCCTCTCCATTTCTTCACCCTGTTGGTATTTGGGGCACGCACATGTGTTCCCTGAGTGTTTTTCAAGCCACCAGGGCCAGATTTGAGCCATATAGTTTGTCATGTGAGCTCCAGCTCCTTTAACCACCACGCCACGAGTGGCTGAAAAATTCAGGACCTGGACACAGTCCCACAGTGAGCGGCAGAGCCAGACCTGGGCCAGTTCTGATCTCACCACTCAGAACCCCTGGCACTGTGGTTCCAGTGCAAGGGCTCTTCTGCCCTGCCACTGGTCATGGGAGCCAGGGTAGAAGAAGCATAGGGAGGCCTTCCCCTGCCAGCTTTCCTTCCACCATCCTCTCCCCAGCCCCACCCCTTCCTGCCTTGCCTGCCCCTCCGCCTCCCTTCCCTGCTTCCCTGTTACTTCAAGCTGTCCACCACTTCACGCAGGCCTGACCCCTCCATTCCATCCCTCTGTCCATACTTCCTTCTAAGCCTTTCACCTCTCAGAGAGCGTTACAGGACGCCTCCCCACCTCTGCCCATGCATGCCTTCCCTCTCATGGCACCACCTGGGTATGCTCGTACACCCCCCACTGCAGCTGGCCCACCTCAGGGTCATGCCTCATCTGCAGGCCTGCTCTGCACTGTGCACACACTAAGCTCCCTCCCTTTCTAGGCCGAGAGCTCCAGGAGCCCTTGGGTCCTGCCTGTACGGTGAGCAGAAGTGTCCCACGGCCTACCCTCCATCTGAGGCAGGTTGCCTCCCTCACCTGCCTCTCTCGGGCACCCTCCCCCAGAGGCCAGCCTGCCCTGACCCATCTCCCTGCCAGTCTGCCAGGTTAGCTCTGGTGTTCCTGGCAGGAACAGCGTGTGTGTGTGCAGTGCCTGGTGTCAGATATTAATAACCAGCACCATGCACTGGTGACAGGCAGGAGAAAATCCAGCCTCTGGCTCCTCGGTGTCTTCATTCCAGTTATTTTTAAATAGCTTTTTGCTGTGCCCATGGGTCGAATGACATTGTGCTTGCAGCCAGGAGTCTAGATCATGACAGACCCCTAGGAAAGGACGATAATAACAGTACATTATTTGTAAATGTTTGCTAAACATGTACTGATACTTAGTTTATTCCCCAGGTGCTCACACTTGTCACCTTGACTCTAAGAGACAGTTTTAAGGCAAAATTGCATTTTTCCTTGAGACAAGACTCATGAGACCCCAGAGAGGCCCCACCCTTCTTAGGACCAATTAGACTAAAAATCTGTGCCAGAGAGGCAAATCCTGAACGTGGAGAGACCTGGAGAGTCAAACCTCAGGCTGGTCTGGCCAACCACCACAGCCCGCTCTCACATGTCTCATGCCAGGGCCTGGCCCTCCTCCGCGGCACCACCTGAGCTGTGGCCCACAGGATGTTCCTGTAGGCTGTTTTCAAGTAAGTTAGTTAGATATTTCGTTTTTCATTCATTTGTGAGAGAGTTTGATATTTTTAAGTTTATTTATTTCTTCCATGCAAGAGAGAAGTACCCCAAACAGGGCCTCATGCTACAAACCACCCCCAGTCTCAGCCGGCCCAGGTGTATGTGTACACCCGGCTTAGAGAGGGAGGCCTTGGGACACGAACCTGGGGCCCTCCCATGTGGGTGTGGTTGTGTTCCTGCGGTGCCACTGTCTGGCTCAACTGACTTTTACAGGGTCTTCCTCCTGCCCTGGCCTCCCAGATAGCTAGAACCATGTCCAGCTGTTTAGGTTAGGCTGGGAACCACACCCAGGCTTCCTGTTTGACTTCAGCGTCTCACATTGGATTCGCACCATGGCAGAATTTCCTGCCACTTCGTCACACTCCTCCCCTCTCCGTTATAGTTCACTGCAGCCTGACAGAGCAGTCTGCCTTGACGCCTCATCACAGGGAAGTCCCTCAGAGTGCGGGGAGCATGTCCTTCAACCAGCCGAGTCCTGCTGGAGCTCATTTCTCTAGAGGGAACTGTGAGCCACAGCCCCGGCCTGGCTTTCCCCCACTCTGCTCAGCACTGCCTCAAGCCTGGTGTTTGCAAACCTATAGTGACGGGGAACCAGGAGGCCTCTCTGTTGGTTCTGGCACCTCGGGGCTGGTGGCAACTGGTTCCACTCTGCCAGATGCTTATCTTCCCTTCAGCTGCACTTTCCTGAGGGATTCCAGTGTGGTGGGAAGACCACTGTGATGATAGTAACAGCCTCTCTCTGTCTCTTTTTCTCTCTCTGTCTCTCTAATAATAGCTTTGTGAGATATAATTCATATATTATAAAGTTCCTTTTAAAGGAATACAATTCAGTGGTTCTTAGTCATTTACAAAGTTATGCAACCATCACCACTATCTAATTTTAGAACATTTCATGACCCCAGAAAGGAAATCCCGTACCTATTAGCAGTCACGGCCCATCTCCTCTTCTCCCCAGCCCCTGGCAACCAGTAATCTTTCTGCATCTATGGATTTTCTTTTCTGGACATACAATCTTTGGTAACTGACTTTCACTTGGAATAATGTTCTCAAGGTTCATTCATGTTGTGGCATTTATCAGTATTTCCTCCCTTTTCTATTTTTATTTTGTAATTTGCTAGAGGGCACGTGACCTTGCTGTAGAGAGACAGAGACTGAGTGGGAGGAGGGGGAGTGAGAAAGCACCCCCCGCCCCGGGAGATGGCCATGCCACAGTTCCTTCTTCTCCCTTCTCTTGGGATTTTGAGTGCACACACGCGCACACACACGTGATTTCCAAGTCATCAGGTCTGGGACTCAAACCACACAATTGACCGTGAAGGATCTAGCTGCCTTAATCACCATGCCATCAGCTGAGTTTTCCGTTCCATTTACTGCTGAGTAATATGCCATTGCATATGTGGCACTTATTCATTTATCAGTTCGATGGACGATGTGTATGCTAGGCCCTGTGCAGACGTATGTTCTCGGCTCTCTGGGGTATACACCTAGGAGTAGCAGTGCTTGGCCATAGGGTTAACTCCATGTTTAACAACGTGAAGAACTTCCCAATTGTTTGCAAAGTGATTGCACCATTTTGGAATACTAGCTGCAGTGCATGAAGTTTTGCAATTCTCTTTGGAAGTTCACAGCAGCCTTTTAAACTGGGTATTTTTATAAACTACAACTTACCGATGACAGTGCTGAGGTTCAATAAGCCACTTGCCGTAGTCACACAGCTGGCAAGTGACAAGGTTGAGACTCAAAACTAGTCTTCTGATTCCCAATGCCACGCTCT